ACACGCCACTCCACACCAGTATGGAACACAACTTGACTAGCATATAAACACGAACCAGAGCATCAGACTCAACTTTACACTAGAAAGACAAATCACATAGAAAATTACAAACTAATGCATGTTAAAGTGAAGTAACTCAGGAAACAAACCTTACTAAAGAGAGTAAAGAAACCTATCAAACATCATACCTTTAGAAGCTAGCAAACGACCTGAGCTTTGAGAGAGTCTGATATGAGAGAGCCTGAGACCTGAAAAAAAAAAAACCTTTAGAAGCTGGCAAATGACAGTACACGTTCTGTGACTTAAACCCACTTGAAAGAGAGCACATAGCTCAACTAGTGTAGTCACAGAACAGAACTAATCAGTCAAAGACTCTCTAATACCTTGCCAACATCAATTCTCATTAAAATGAACACATTACAAGAACTTGATTACTCATGTCATTATTATCAGAGTCCCTAGCTTTTGTAAGCCTTTAACATGACAAGCTAAGAAATCAAGTTTCTTCTTTTCTCTTTCTCCAAGTTCTATTTATTAACCAAATGTTTAATGTGTTATTTACAAAATGAAACACTCAGCACATACGAAATCAAACACTTACCTAGCAGCATTCTGAGCTGAGCCTGCCATTGCTTCTTGGAGTTCCTCCATTGTAAGGAGCCTCGTGGTCCTCAAATATTCTCCTTTTGCGTAGCAATCAATATCTTCAAGGTTCACTTGATTCAATGTTCACTTGTTTCCCACAGCCTTAATTGTCTTCTCAAAGAAATCTGATCTTCCAATGTAATCCTTCATCCTACACACAAAATCTGTGTGATCTCTTTATGTACCCAACAATTGCAATTGAATTTTTAGACCAAGTAAACAATTAGATAGAGATAAAACAAGGATCATACCAACCGGTAATGTGGCACTCTCCAAGGCAGCTTAAGGTAAGCCATGTTTCTCACATTTGTAGTCCCAAAGAAACGATGTATGGTGTATCCTATCTACTCCTAATTATTGACTGAGCATTTCCACCAAACTTACAGTCACCAAAACCATTTCATAGTCGATGAAGAATAACTAACTAAAACACACCGTTCTAACGTAGCTGGAAACCAATATTAAAACCATTAAACACTTTTAACCATACAAAGAAACCACTCCACGCCATTACACTCATCTTAGGCCTTTCAGCTTTAGAGCCATAACCAAAACAAAAGCTACCAATCAAGTCTCTAGAAAATTCTCAATTTCTACAACAGTCCCAAACACAGAGTCTATATCACGGAGTAGAGATAAAGGTAGCGAATTTCGATTCCAATTAGGAAGGAAACTTGCCTAAAATAGAAATCCCAGACGAGGGTCGTTGCTCGTCGATCTCGGAGTGAAGCTGTGAAGACTCTATAGCTTGGTCAAAGCTTATGCAAAATCTTTTGTAGACCCAAAGATAGAATATTTATGGTAACCCACTGTCTGCTTTGTCCCGGTGGTAAGTCGGAACAAGTCGCCGTCGTTGTTAGTCGAGCGTTAACGAGAGAGGGGAGAGGTTCAGTTTACGTGCGCGCAAGGTGTTCGATACAATGCCGCAGAGAGATGCGATTATTTGGAGGGTTTATCTTTATGAATTTATATTGAAAGTTCTGTAATTACTAAAAGTCCCCGATATTATCATGAAATGTCTATTTGGTATAAGTGTTTTAAGCATACATAATTTCATCCCAAGAAGTTAAAGGAAAAAAACATGAGAATTAAGAAGCAACGGTTATGTTTAAGAAAGTAAAAGAATATATGAATTTACAAAACAAAAGAGGTCTCAAGTTGACGTTGAGTTCTTATTTGTTGTAAGCTTATATATAGTATAACATTTACTACCCAATCGATTCATAAACTGATTTTTTTTGTGTGTGCAAATTTATAGTTAATTTGAAATGCTTCTAGTTATTGTATAATCAAGAAAAATCTTTACATTAATTCGTGATTTAAAAAGGGAATTAATGGCCTAAGTTAATAGGAGTAAAACACTAGAAGAGGACATGCCACATTTTCTCAAGACTTGACTGCACTTTTCTTTTCTAGAGAGCATAATCTATAGTATACAATATATAAACTCTTTTTTTTTTTTTTTGGGTAACACAATATATAAACTCTATAAACCAAAACTAGCAATCATTTAAGCAAAATAAAAATAAAAATAAACACATAATTTTGTGCAGAATCTTACTTACCAATAGCTGAATCAATACCTTACGAGATTCATGAAGCGTAAATGATTGAACATTGATATAATTTTGCAGAATAAGTAAATAATAGTTTAATAGTAAATTATTAATTTTATATAGCATAGCTGAAAATGACCACCATTTTTAAAATTTTAAAATGTGGATTCCACAGTTTTTGTATGATTGCAGTTAATGATTGTATGTATTTTAGGTTAAAAGGTTAGAGGTTCAAAAACGTCAATAATTTTGAATGTTTCTTATAGATTTGAGAAAAGACGAAGCTAAAATCTAGTTAGTTAGTTGGCATTGAATCCCTATCGTGTAGGACTTTAAATCCTAATCACCCAAAAAGTTTTGTCTTCACTTTCCATATGCGTGAGACTCCACTCATCCTTTTTCGTGATCTCAAAACTTAAATAGGACTACCTGTTCTTGTGCCATTCTTCACGTTCGACTATTCACTCTGAAGATTAAGTAACAGAAACTCTTCCCATTTATTTTCCAGGTAAATTTTAGGCTTTCTTTTAAAAAAAAAAAGGGTTTCTGAATCGTTTATGTGATCTCTTAAACTTCGTTTTTGTGTGTCAACAAGCCTTGAAATGTTGAGATTATAATTATTTATTTATTCATATATATGCATAACCCAAAAACCACACGTAACTTCTAATTAATCACAAAAAGTAATCACGTTTCTCTTGCTTCCGCTCTAGATGAACTCAACCTGTATCCTTCTATAACATTTTACAAAACGATATATCATTTTTTTCTAATACGTTCTCACTACAGAAGTTCAAACTGTACACGTTAAAATTCACATATAGACTGCATCATCAGTACTTTTCCATGAATTTGCAAAAATAAAATTACGTTATCTACTTTTTTTATAAGAAATTATCAGCAATGGAAGAAGATAACCACGAAAAACAACTTGATGATGGAGGATCTTCATCTCTCTTTAAGACTTGTTTCAACGCACTCAATGCCTTTTCAGGTTAACTCTTTTTAGTTCGATGCATTTTTTATATTTATTTACTCGTTTTTGTATAACAATTTGAATGCTAATGGCGATAATGTGAATTGTATTAGGCATTGGAATATTATCAGTACCATATTCACTAGCTCGTGGAGGATGGTTGAGTTTATCACTTCTCTTACTCCTAGCCGCAACCGCCTTCTACACATCTTTACTCATAACAAAATGCATGAACGCCGATCGCACCATTAAAACGTACCCGGACATTGGAGAACGTGCGTTTGGTAGACCGGGAAGAATCGTTGTGTCAGTCTTCATGCACCTAGAACTCTACCTAGTCACTACAGGTTTCTTGATCGTGGAAGGAGACAACCTTCACAATCTTTTCCCAAGGTTTAACATCAAAATGATCGGTTTGAGATTGAACGGGAAACAGTCTTTCATGGCCTCAGTGGCTCTTGTCATCATGCCAA